AAACTCACAAACCCTGAGATCATGACCTGAGCCGAAATCAAGAGCCAGACTCTTAACCGACTAAGCCACCCAGTGCCCCATCTTTGTATTTAACACTGTAAGCTTCTTTAAGTCACTTTTCGAAGTAGAGGGAATAGAAGGGACAGAAACACAAGGGACTTAAACTATTTTGTTAGCTGCTATATTTCCAGTACCTAGAATAGCGACTGTCTTGTAGTTTGTGGTCAGTAAATTCATTGAACAAATAACTAGAAAATGAATGATTAACGAAATATGCACATACACATGCATGCACATACCAGGGGAGGCTGCCAGGTTGTTGTGCATCATCCCTCATTTTATTAGCAATAATCCAAACGTGAAGAAAGTTTTTGTTTGTACTCCTTCATTCATTCAATAAATCTTTGTTGCACATCTACCATGTGCCAGAACCCCTGTGACCCAAGTTGTCATTCTTGAGGGACTCATAAATCTATTGGAGTAAACTGAGGGAGCATCAGACAATTATGGGACAATATTATGAGTACAATGATAAGACATGTGTGCAGAAACCCTGAGAACTCAGAGGAGGGAAGTTGACCAGCTAGAAACACAGGGAGTAGGGGCAGAGAGTGATGACCATTCTTCCGATAAAGGTTGTGGTCAAGGTGAGCATCCAAGGATGAGCAGGTGTTAACTACAGGGAGAGGGAGAGGAAGAGAAGACTCCAGGAGTGCCACTGGCAGAGGCAAAGCAGAGAAAACCAACAGCTAGTGGGGGAAGGAACTAGAAGGAGCTGGATGTGGCCATGGCATCAAATCCAGGAATGTTGAGAGGTGAAGCAGTAGGGGGTTGGGAAGCCTTGCACAATTCTGAAAAGCCTATGATTTATTTTCTATGAAGTCAGGAGTTTTTCAGGGGGTTAAATTGGGAAGTGGCCTGGTCAGACGTACACCTTAGATAGGTCACCCTGATGGGATGAAACCTGGAGACGAGACGCAGGTGGGCAGAACCAGTTAGCCCGGGTATTAACTGATTAGTCTGGAAAGTCATGTGATCACAGAGACAGAGAAAGGCGAAGGAGAAATATTTTGGAGAAAACTGTATCTTTTAATTCTTTGTTTTATAGTTACTAGTATTTCTATTCTATACTTCTTCATTACTAGTATTTTTGGATAACTTCTAATGAGCTCTTGTTTTGTGAATTTTCTTTTTATTGCCTACTGCTGTATACTTTGTTCCCAAAGCTTTTATGACAATTCTTGATGCACAGAATAGAAAGTAACAACCGCTAAAGTTGTTATGACAAAGAACTGCCGATTCTCTACTTGCTTGGTGAGAGCAGAGGATAAGAAACACGTAATGATGACCCTGCTAAATTCACTCCTGAGGGTATATAGATCTAGATCCGAAAGCATGTATGCAACGGAAACTTTTAAAAACTTATTTGTAAGGTTATTTAATCCTCTCAGGGCAACAGAAAGGACTTTAATGTCAACACATAGACTTACCCACATATGTACACCTAAATTAAAAAAGATATAAATCATCTTGAAAAGAGGTTTTAGGATCACACAGAATACAGAGACAATGCCTTAAAAAAGATACGCTCCTTGCTAGCAATCTTCCAAAAGAGTATTCTTTTCAGTCATTTTTTTCTCTTTTCCAGAGTGGTAATAAGATAATGAATTAATAATTCAGGCCCATCGTCAACATCTGACTGACATTACCTTATGCACGATGAGCTCATGAGTGCCATCTGGAAGAGTCCTACCATCTTCCTGCATCAGGGGGACGAAGGAGAAACCAAACAATTTCTTCTCTCCTTTCTCCTTTGCTGTGAGAAAAAAAAAAAAAAAAAAAGAATTATTTGCTTCTTTAAGCGCCTATTTACAGACCTGTATTCGGATTCACAGATTGCCAACAGGTGTGATCATCCAGAAATACAATCCACATTCAGCAGCTCCCTATACACAACAGTAAACAGCTTTTCTTAGGAGACCTCTATCTACAGGAGCCACCTTTCAACCCATATTCCTGCCCCATAATCTCCAAACTATGCTGCTTGACTAATTTTCTTCATGGGACTCTCTGAAATCATGTTTTAAAAAAATTTCTGGATTGCCTATTTTTTCTCATCACATCCTCCCCTCTATCCCCAGGTGTAAGCAGCACTGAGGGCAGGAACCTTCTATTTTATTTTATTCTGAGCTTGGTATCTCAACAAGTACCAAGAACATAGTAGATTCTCAGTACGTATATGTTAAATAAATGAAGAAGTGAGTGAATGAATGTGAAGTTCAATGTTTTGCTTACTACTTGGGCAAAGGTAGTTTCTAAGCTCTGCCTTGGTCTATAAAAGAACCTTCCCTATGTCCACCTGTGTGAAGACAGCCCTATGGAAGCTACCTCCTTGGGATCTTGGACGTGCTGGAAAACAAAATGAATTGCAATCTATAGTTTAAGAAGAGCTTATTGCAGGAGTATTCTGGAAGATGGAAATGAGGCAATGAGGTTTTCAGATGCCCAATGAAGAATTACAATGGCTGGAAAGGTCAAGTATCATTGGCAATTATTTGTAGAGAAGGAAACTGAGGGAAAATGAGATCACATGATGTTGGGTAACCTGCTCTCCATCTTGAGTACCATTCCAATTTTTTCCAACAAACTTCCATTTCTCCAAAAATGGATAAAACATTCAAAGAAACTGGTTGGTTCAAGTGGACTGTCTCCTTGTATTTGGATGTGTAGGGAGGAGTTCCAGGGCCTTGCAGCCTATCAGGGGCTGGATGGTTATTCTTTCCCACTCATGTGTGCAAGTGGAAAGTTATACTTGATGGAAGAGTCCAGCTTTGGAATGAGGATTAGAGCTAGAGGAGTGAGATATGGTGACCCTGAAGTTCAGACAAGAGGCTTTAGTAATACATCATTTCCTCATGATTGCTTCTGGCATTCAGCCACAGGGGAGTGGGGCACCACACAGAGAATAGTAATTTTGCCTCTCCAGTTTTGGCCTCTAGCATGGGGGCCCCCCTGAAAATGTGATTATAGCAAAGGATTTTCTTTTAAAGTTATTAATTTCAACCCCATAAAGAAACTGGGAAAATATCAATGTTTTTAAAAGTGAAATGAAAAGCACAGTGAAGATCTCTAGGATGAGATTTCTACATCAATGAGAAAGCTGGCTACGTAACTCATGATTTAGGGGAGAACACATACTGTTAAGTAATTTCCTAAGTTTATGTCACTATCTTTTTGGTGTGGTTTTTGGTATTCAATTTGGAAGGCTAAAAAGATTCTGTGAATGAGTAAAATTAGCAAAGGTTAAGAAACACAGCAATAGTTTCCCCAAATATGCCTTGTTATAAAAAAAAAAAAAAAACAACCCTAAATAGCAAAGTTTAAAGTACATGGTCTTCTGTCCCAAGTTACTAGATCAGCATTAATAAATTGAATGGATTATTAGGCACAATATGATCCCCTTTCACTAATGAGGACCCTAAGTTCATCGATTCTACCTCCTAATTTTGCCAATTCATTTTTTCTAATACCCCAGCTCCAACAATTGTGCCCAGGGACCTCAGATTTACTGACCCTCTCTCCGCGCCCATCAGCTCTCAATTCCCATTTCTACACCCCACCCTTCTAATCACTTAGGATCCCCTCAACCAGCTACTCCTCCACACTTCCCATTATAATATTGTGGGTCAAAACCCAACTTGCACTTACACCTATGCCAGACCGATCTCACTTAAATTAATGCACATTAACTGCAGATGGACACTTAGCTGGGAAAACCTTCCACATATTTCTACCCAACTCACTTTTTCACTTTTCTAGATGGTGATTTCATCCATCCTCTTCCCTTCACAAGCCTCCCATACCTCACCCCTTCCCTCACTCTGAGTGGATGCAGAGAGGACTCCCACATGTTCCACCGAGGAATGCACCTGCTTCGGCTCTCCGGCACCATGCCTCCATCGTCCACTCAACCCAGAGCGCTGGACCCCATGCTCCTTTAATGCAAGGGAACTCCTCCTACACTTGTCCCATCTCTCTTCTACATCATCAGTTTTCCATCTCTACCAGATCATTTCCGCCAAATATGCTTTAGAACTCTATCTTAAAAAGAAAACGACAACAACAACAACCCTCCTGTGACCCCAGTTGCATTATAGTTACTATGTTACTATCTCATATCTCTGCTCTCTTGAATTCTTTCTAGCAAAGCTTCTGAAAAGATTTGTCTGTACTTACTGCCTGCCCTTCCTTTCCTCTATCTCAATCTTGGACTCACTCCTGCCAGACTTTCATCACCACAAATCCACTAAAACCACTTGTCAGATTCAATGACTTCCATGATGCCAAACAGGGTGGTAATTCCTCTGTCCTCAACTTAATTATCATTGGCACCTGACATATCAGATCAATTCCCCTCTTGAAAATCTTTTTTCAATTAACTTCCTGGATTCTATTTCTGGATTCTCCTTCTACCTCACTGGCTACTCCCTCTTAATTTCCTTAATGGCTTCTTCTCATTCTCTCAAGATCTAAATGTGAAAGTACCCCAGAAATCCACCCTTGAACTTGCCTCTGCTATCTAAATTTACTCTTTAGGAATCCAATTGCATCCAGTCTCATGGCTCTGAAAATCATGGGCATTGGTGATATGCTGGAGCTGGCCTGTACTGGCTCACAGGAGATGACAGTGTGCATCTATCCTCAACTCCAAGTTCAGTGATGGTCATGTTGGTAGCTTGAATTTAGCCATGGTGGGAGCATTTACTTGATGGAAATCAGCAAATACTATAATTCAGGGCTCTCCTCTCCCCCAGGCCAAGTGCTGGTTATTAAGTATTTACAGCACAACAATGGGCCCTGTGTTGTCCTCAAGTTTGTCTCCAGCTTGGACCTCATTCAACTGTCTATCTGACATCTTTAATGTCTAAAAGACTTCTCAGATTTAATATGTAATATTTGGGTTTTGCTCTCCAAAAAGATTCTTCCTGTTGCCTTCCCCCACTTCATTAAATGATCACTTCATTCTTAGGCCAAAATCTTCAGGGTCATCCTTGACTTTTCCCCTTCCTTCACATCTAGTCTATCAATAAATCTGCAAAAAAGAACTGGCCTACTACCGTCCTAATGCAAACCACTTTAACCTCTTACTTGGGGGACTGCAAAAAGCCTCCTACATGGTTTTCTATTCCCACCTACAACCTCTCATCTCAAAGCAGCCAGGCTTATCCTTAATCTAAATCCTCTAATTGCTCTCCTCCCTGCAAACAAAGTCCCAAGTCTTCCCCATGACTTAGAAGACAATATGGGATCTGGCTCCCCTGCTCAGTCTCTGGCCTCATCTCCAAACTCTCCCAGCTGCTCATTCTGGCCTCCTTGCTATTCCTTGAAAATGCCAAGCAGGTTTCAACCTTAAGCGTTTTGTATTCACTGTTCTCTCTGCCTGTAATATTCTTTCCCCAGATACCCAAGGGCTCATGCCTTTATTTCTTTTAGGTTGCTGCTGATACATCTCCTTATTAGAGAGCTCCTTTCTGATCAGTCTTTGTAAAATAACAATACAGCATCATCACTTTCCAGCACCTAAATCCAATATAATCTTCTTTACTGCACTAATCACTACCTGGTATAGTATGTATTTATTTGCTCAGATATTGTCTGTCTCCCCTTTTTAGCACAAAAGCTCTATGAGAGGAGGTATTCTGCTATGTTCACTCATGTATCTCCAATGCCCAGTAACGTGCTTGACACATAGTAGGTGTTCAGTAAACATGCGTGTCATGAATAAAAAATACTTTTTAAATAAATATATGTATACAGAGAAATATCTAGAAGCTCATGTGATAAAATGATTGCCTGATTATTCATAGTTGATGGGATTATGGGGATTTTTCTTCTTCATGCTTGTGCCATTTCTTCTGAATTTTAACAATCAATATTTAAAAAAAACAACACTGAACAATGTTTGAAGTACAAGGACAAGAGGACAGATGTAATACGTTCTACTGAAAATAGCCTTTATTTCATTTTCCAAGTTCTCTGTCTAAATTTCTCCAAATGCTTTCTCCCTTTTTTCTCAGTTCATCTTTACTTTCCTCTATCATTTTCTTACCTTAAAGTTCAAAGTTCCTATGAGGCTCAACTGAGAACTGGTAACAGGGATTGGGGAAGGAATGCTATGGCACCATTCCAAGTGCTTTATGCTTTCCCCCTCCAAGTCCTTTCCATGACACTCCTCTGGGAATTTAGAAGAATGTTAAGACCTTGCTAGTCAACTCCCTACATTCTAAAACGTCCACAAAAGCAAAATTACTGGAGCTTCCTGAGCCAATTCCAAAAACATGCCATCATCCCTGCAGTGGACAGTCCTTCTCTTCTCTCTGAATCCTGGTGTACTACACAGCGCTCAGGTGAAGTCACCGCTCATCTATCGGTATTGCCCCCATTCATTCCAGACTAAAGAGGAGTCTGCTGCTTCTCCAATAATGTGACTCTTTTGTACCTACCATGTATTACACTGTTCCTGAAGCAAGATTCACCAGAACCTTCTCCAGTCACAATGTACACTTCTGGTAGTGTCTAAGACACATTTCAGGGACACAGGGATACCAGAAGATCCCTGGATCTTCTGGGGACTGGAGCGGGCCAGGAGTAGGGGCTTGAGAGGAGAATTAAAATAGAGATGTCAAGAAATGACAATTTTAGGGATAGCAATGTTCACATGGGCAAAACCTATAACATCTCTACATCTTGGGTTTTTTAAATCTGTAAAATGAAGCGATTACTTCATGTCATCTCTAAGGCCTATTCGGACTGACATTACTAGCCTGTCATTAGAATACTGTCTGAGACTGCACTGTGATGCAGGTATATGCAAATCAGATATATATCTGAGCCAATCAGAGGCTTTCCTAGGCACTTTACAGGCCTAGAAAACTCCTCCTGGGTTCCCCGGAGGTGTCTGAGAGCTGGATGAGCTCTCTGCTGGAGAAGCAGCAGGTGGGTCAGGACTGCCCCAAACACCGTAAGCCAGACACGTTTTTAATGCCGTCTCCCCTTTCTAATCTTTCTAGACTATGAAAGTGATCAACTCATTTTTATGAAAATGAACACCTTAAGAAGAACCCTGTAGACTTCCACAGGTATTTTTTCCTTCCTTGTCCTTCCTGTGTGTTTCCACAGACGTTACTGGTTCTTTGAGAAGAAGTGAGCCCACTCACCTTTCAGGACTCCACTCCCCTTCATTTCTCCCTCTCCAGGGTCTCTGGTTTGTCATACTTTCTGCAGAGTAGCCCACGTGGTCACTATAGCTCAGTAAGGACACTACCCCCACACAAGAGAGCCAGCCCCAAGAAAACACTTACTGGAACAATGCCGAAATTCAAAGCGGATGTGTGCGCCCCTGAATTTATCCACAGGAATAGGAAGTTTCAGCAGTTCGGACCACCTGGGACTGTTGTTATGATAAAGCACAAAGGAGTGGTACTCACTAGCTGGCGGCTCTCCAGAGCCGAAGGAGATAAAATCCTAACAAAGGAAACATGCAGGTTAAAGACAGCTTCAATGAAAGATTATTTGAAAAACAGCAGAGCAATTGCTTTGCTCTATCTGCCTGCTCCCCAAACAGCACTTCATGTGGGGCCTCCCTGGGCCCTCTCTGTTCTACACTTGCATCTGTTAGCAGGTGTGTCCACTTAGTCCCCATGCACGTCTCCCAGGGCCTCCGGAGCCAGGGGTGGACCTCTGTGACAAGTGCAAGATGGGCAATTGCACGCCCAATTTGGAGTTCAACTATGTGGCAAAGTCCTCAGCCTGCTGCAGTCACAAGCCTGTTCGGTGCCTCCCTGAGAAATGCACACGGCCTCCCTGAGGCTCACGCGAAACACTCCTTCCATTAAGGACCTGCTTCTATCACCCCAATCATCAACAGCACCCCATTCCTCAAGCCCTGTCTTGACCAAAATGAAAACAGACAGGATTCAATGTAGTAGTTTTTATTTTTTTTAACCAGTCGCCCAAGACAAAGTGTTCATCTCCAAAAGTATGACAGATGAAAGGGGAAGAGTGGGGTGATACTAAAAATGCAACATTTAAGGAATAGCTGCTCCGAGGAAATTACTGCCATGATTCCTTAAACAATCAAACTGTAAAAGCCTTTCTGTTCTTCTACTGTCTCTTCTGGAAGGTATTTCAGTGATTTAATAAAAAAGGAAAGAAAACTACCCTGGGGTGGAGAAGAAACATAAGGTGGAAAAGACTGTAAATCAGAAGTTAACCAATCACATTAAAGATGAACCCCGAACACTGATGTGGAATTGTTTTACCAGAAAGTACCCACTATCCACGTACCTTTAAGATCTGGCCACTACTCTCCACAATGAACATAGTGACTTCCACATTTCTGGCCACGCTCTTCCCTCCTTTTTCAAATTCACCCCTTTCTATAGTGATGTACAAATCATTCCTCATTTCACCTAGTAGGAAAATTAAAACCATGTTTTTAGAGATAAATGTTTCTGTGACTGTACATGTGTATGTATAAATATATACATATATATTTATACATACACATACATAAATATATATTTTATACATATATAATATATATATATATCTTGTAAGTATAATAAAGTACTCTATCAATAAAAACTTTAGTTCATAAAATGAACTGCTATAACATACATATAAAGTAAAATATATTATATTTACACTTTTATAAAAGGGTCCCCACCCTCATTGCTAATACCCAAGAAAAGTAAAGGCCAGCCTCTGCCAGTCTGAAGTTGCGACACTGAGAATGTACATTTAGGAGGTGAATACAGGGACGAAGAATGAAGGTGTTGTCAAGTCTCACCATTTTTCAATATTTCCCTCATTTCATTTATGAGGTGTGATTACAAAATGACAGCCTAGCAGGGTGGCTCAAAGAAGCCAGTCTCAATACTTTATAGACACAACACTTAGAGTAGAAGAAATACCCACATGGAATAAAATGACAGGACTGCAAAGGGTAGAGTTACAATTTAAATCTTTTTCTAAATTCACAGACAAAATGATCTCACTGCTGGAAGAATCCAGGTTAGGCTTTATGAACACAGATGTAGAATAATTCAGTTATGCAAGACAAAGTTGGCTTGCTGTTCCTTACCATCAAGCTATAAAACAAATAAGATCCAAACTGCCATATTCTATGAACACATACACCAATTTTTTTTTTCTCAATTGGTTATTTATAAAACTTACTGCCACAAGAAAAAAGAAATTTGATGCCAATGACCAAACTTAGGCAAACACACTGACAGCATGCTTTTACCTTTCCTATGAGAATTAGATTACGGGTAAACAGCGAGTGAGAAAGAAGTAAACACAATGTTACCAGAAAGTTTTTGAAGATAAATACTGGTAAGTTTGGCAACGCTGAATTCACTTTTACTTAATATAGCTTTCAAACATTAGAAGAATCAAAAGCAATATATATATTTTTTCCTAGTAAAAAAAACCTTTCCATAAAAAAAAGCAGATCACTAGAAGAAACATCACCACACAAGTAAGCTCACAAAATTGGGAGATTTTTAAGACTTCCTGACAGCAGTGTGTACAAGAAAGTACCCTAACTTTCAAATCCATGGGGGAATACCAGTGTGACTGGTCACCTTCCTCCATTAAGACAAACTTTTGATGATGGCATCATTTGCCAGTGACCTGGACTGACCAGGAAACAGATGGGACATGAAATAGAGAAAATAAGTAAGTCCCATAAAGGATGAAATCTAAACCACCCTTTATAAAGAGTATGTAGAAAACACAGTGGAAATAACTGATACAGTGGTCTCTGGCTTATGAATTTCTAGTTCTCTCATACAAATCAATTTGGGGAGGCAATGAACTTGGAATTCCAGGAGAAAACCAATATATTTCAACACATTTAAAATTATATCTGTGTGCTTTGTAGGTTTTTGTTTGAACCACCTCTCTTTTTTTTTTTTTTATTTTTTACAAAGTGGCCGAGTAAATATTTTAAGTTTGCTACTTAAAAGACTACTACTACACACACATACACACCCTTAATAAAAGTGCATTTTAATGATTTAACAATACCATTACAAAATGAATAATGCATTCACAAACTCCAGCCTCTAAATCAACCAATTTGAACAAAATCAAAATAGGCCTGATATGCTACTGGTCTGCACATGTGCTATTTCAACACTATGTTTGGGAAAAAATTCTTGACGATAGTTCCCCCACTAACAGATTCGGCAAATAAAAAAGCAACACTCAAATCGAGGCAGATTAGAGCAAAATATGTCTGTTAACAATAGCAAAATTCCTTTGCTTCTTGGAGTAGGTGACACATAATGAGTAGCTCTGCTCTGTGCTTACAGACAGACTAAAACATACAGTGGTTGATGGGAAGTATGGCTACAGGGGTTTCTACTTTAGGAATTTCTCATAATGAGTAATTAGCTAGTCCAAACCACACGGGGCTTAGCTGTCCTGCAAAACCAAGAAGAAGTGTTTCCTGCGAAGGAGACTTCCACTCTCATCTCTTGGGAGGAAGGGCAACTCTGACTTTATCAAAAGCAAGAAGGGATGAGGGAGGTTTGTAAGGTGACCTGTTTTCCCCAGTCTGTAGGCTAGGCCTAAAGGATGAATAGGGGTGGTGGAGAGATTAATGTGTTTCCAGAGCTATGAAATTCTTTATCCATGTACCCACCACATGCCAGATATTATTCTAGGCCTACGAGACCCAGCAGTGAACAAAGCAAAAATCCTTTTCCCACAGAGTTTAGATTCCAGTAATAGGGAGGTCTTTAATACAGAAGCCAAATATATAGTATGTTGCATAATAACAGGAAGTTCTGCGGATAATAAGACTAAGAAGGGGCACAGGGAAAGCGGGTGTTTCATGACAAAAGACGTCACTGAGAAGATGAGAGATGTGAGTAAGCTATGGTATATTTTGGCAAAGAAGAAAAGTTGAAAATGGCATGAGCTTCCCAAACCAATCCATAAAGCCTGTTTAGCTTACACCATAGCTGGATTCTTCTATTTCTTCTGAATTCAGAAGCGATTGTGAATTCAGATAAGCCTAAAGGATGTAGGGTAAACAGGAAGATTAGATTAAAAGATCTGGACTCAAGTCTCTTTCTCTCTACTGTTTGCTCTGTGTGGTATCCATCTAGATGGGGTAATATAAACCTCCAGGCCTCAAGTTTTTGAGTTATTAAAATGGGGGTGGGGTAAAGACAGGGGCGGGGTAAAAGAGGTGGTAGGAGGGACAAGACTACTTTGTTATGTTACACTGTTTCTGTGACTTACGGAAGAACTTCTGAAATACAACATTCATAAATTCAAACACTTTAGGCACATGCTTTACTTTTCTGGTCTTTAATGGTCATTATCCCTGCAACCTTTTCCTCTTTTGCAAACCTTTTAGCCTCAAATAAGATTTCTCTGAAAAGGGAATACACAACAAGGAGAACATTTCTCCTGGATGACATTCTACATATGTCTCCCCAGGAATTCTGCAGCTTGCTATGTTCCAGTACTGCAACGTACCGTATCTTGCCAAAACGTGCAGAAGGATAAAGCTGAAACGTGCTAATTAAAATCAATACACCTGAGGTCAGCTCTGGAGAAAACTAATAAGCCCAAATGCTGTTAAGAAAGCATCTTGGGTAATTAAGAGAGAAACCATAAAGTGAGTATGAAATGGAGTCATAGCACTAGTGTGAAAAGCTATTTTCCTGACAATGTTTATTAACACCTTGCACCTCTCAAATTTAATACTCTGTAAATTTGATGTGCATAACACCTGTCTCTGTTTAGTAGGCCCACTGGCTTTGCACGTGAAGGCTTCGCATAATATCACTGTAGACAGATAAATATAAGGCCACAACAATGGGAACAAATTCAAAAGAGTTCAGTGATTACAGTCAAACGGGATCGATTTATGGCTTGACCTCAACAGCCAAGAGGTTTCCATTATTAGCTGAAACCCTGATCTTTGATTCTATGCTGGGAATGCCATGGATAAAGCCCAAGCTCGCCACATCAAGTAAACTACTGCACTCAGCCACAGGCTAGCCAAGTGCCTTAGCTGGGCTGGATACTTGTTAATATTTATGGAACTGGAAAAGTTCCTGCCCTTCCGTTAAAAACAAATCGACAAGTGTCTGAGACGAGGGGTATTTCATGGACTGAGATTATGACAATGATGACGACGGTGGTGGTAGTAGATAGATGGTAGTTCCATCCTTCGCCAAGTGCTATACAGAGAACAGCTCATTAAATTCTCACATCAAGGTTAAAAGAACGCCCTATTTTTCCATCTTACAGATAAGAAAATAGGTGTATAAATATTTTTTTTCAATGTTTATTTATTTTTGGGACAGAGAGAGACAGAGCATGAACAGGGGAGGGGCAGAGAGAGAGGGAGACAGAATCGGAAACAGGCTCCAGGCTCTGAGCCATCAGCCCAGAGCCTGACGTGGGGCTCGAACTCACGGACCGCGAGATCGTGACCTGGCTGCAGTCGGACACTTAACTGACTGCGCCACCCAGGCGCCCCAAATAGGTGTATAAATATTAAGAAATGTCCAACATATTCTAAGTTTACATTAAAATCAAGTATTTTCAGCATGAAAAAATGTAATTTAACAGGGTGACAATGGCCATCAAATAACCTAGTGTAACTCAGCTTTCTTCGCCAGAAGATCAGTGCCTTAAGAAAGGAAGGTATCAGTCCTACTCTGCTCTGTGTTGGTCAGATCAGACTTGAGGCACTGATTTCAGTTCGAGACACCAGCTTTACAGTACAGGGACAGACACAGACGGCATCATCTGGACCATAAACAATACAGAGAAAGGACTCAGAGCCCATCAGCGGAGGGATGAGGGTGACAAGAGAATTAAGTGAATTTAAAGATGTTGAGGTTTCAAGCAGAAAAACTCAACCGAATAGATAGAAACTAGTCCAACACCAAGAGGTCATTTTGAGATCTGTGTTCTCGGGTCATTATCAATATTCAAGTTATGTGCCAGAAAACCATCACTAGGAACCTGAGGGAGAATCCATGCACTGGATATATGGCTGGGCTGCATGGCCCTTCAGGTGTGTGGCAGGCAGAATAAGGACACCTCCTGTACCCCAAAGAGATGTCCAGGTTCTAATCTGGGAACCTGTGAATATGTTGTTACCTTACACAGCGAAAAGGGACTTTGCGGTGATTATTAATTAAGTCAAGGATCTTGAGATGGGAGACCTTCTTGGATTATCAGGGTAGGCTCAAAAGAATTATAAGGGTCCTTATAAGAGAAAGAGGGAGGGGCACCTGGGAGGCTCAGTCAGTTAAGCGACCGACTTTGGCTCAGGTCCATGACTTGCGGTTCCCAAGTTTGAGCCCCGCGTCAGGCTCAGTGCTGACAGCTCAAAGCCTGGAGCCTGCTTCGGATTCTGTATGTGTGTGTGTCTCTCTCTCTGCCCCTCTCTCACTGGCACTCTCTCTCTCAAAACTAAAAACATTAAAAAAAAAAAAAATGTAAAAGAGGGAAATGGAGGCAGGAGGGCCAGAGACAGAGAAGGCGGTATGATGAGAGAAGCAGACATAGGAATGATGTGGGGGCCATGAGGCAAGGAGTGCAGGCAATCTCTGGAAGCTGGAGAAGGCAAGCAAATGAATTCTCCCTTACAGCCATCAGAAGAAATGCGGCCCTGCCGAAAGACCTGGATTCTAGCCCAGCCAGACCTGTGCGTACTTCTGATCTCCATAACTGCAAGATAAGACTTTTGTGGTGTTTTAAGCCACCCCTCCTGTGGTGATTTGTAAGAGCAGCTATACAAAACTCATACATATTGTATTATGTATTACCATGTATTATGTATGCCAACTATACCCAAGATTCTATCACTTAATGATATCTTCATGGGTGAGGGCAAGGACAGGACAGGAACCCAGATAACTGGAAATCAAAGCAGACAACAGAAAGGGAAAATTTATGGATGGGCTGAAAACTGAACTTTGGATTTCTCACATATGGTGCATCTTCGGTGAAACCTATCAATGTTTTTTTCTCCTTTTTGTGTCATTCTCATTTTTGTTTTGCCTTATTTTAGGAGAGTATTATGAGGTATTGAACTTTTATGGGGGGTAGCTTTTCAATTTTTGCTGACTACTAAGAAAATAATGGCAAATGCTATAATAGCATCCATGATAGTCTTGCCAGAACAGTGTTGCATAAAGACAGGAGTAGAGATGGGCTGTGGTTCCCTGATGCCCACGATATTCTAGGACAAGGGTATCTGGTAGGGCCAGCTGGGGAAAGTCCTATACCCTTGTGTAATGGGGCCTGTAAGCCTCAAACTTTTGGAGGTGCCAGCTCCTCCACCATTCTGATTTGGGGCTGGAATCCCACCTCAGTATAACCCGGATGATCCTTAACCTCCACCTCTTGCATCGCCGTGGAATTCATTGGTTGAAAGTCCACAACCCCCTCCTCTAGCATGATCATGGGGTTCAGGTCTCAGGCAAGCGGTTACATGCGTGGAGGTCCAGTGACTTGGAGTGAGGGGTGGTGAGCTTTGGTTAGATTTAGGATGTATTTTTAAGGAAGTTCAAATTATATCACACTGGTTCCCACCTGCTTTTGCCAAAAGAAGGCTTATCTCAGGCAGTCCCATCTACTGATATGTCTCTGTCAATAAGTGATAAAGAATAACATTTATACTTGAAAGAACAGAACTTCATATCCCCTTAAACACGAGGCAAACATATACACAACATTCCTCTTATCCCAGTGTGCAAATCATTATCTAGTCAGCTTTGACCAAATAGAAATTTGACTTATGTGATCTATCACCTAACACCCAAAGAAAAAGGAGGCTTACTCTGAATGACACTTGAAAAATAAACAAATAAATCTTGAGATGAAGATCAAAGCTACTACCACTGGCAGACATTTGAAACCTGGGTTCTGCTAATTGTTTTCAAAGTGAGCCTCTACCTTCCAAATTTCAACCCCTCCCTTTCCCATCACTCCACAACTTTTACTCAATTCCTTTCAGGGTTAGGAGCTTCAAAGATCTCCTACGAAGACTGAATTTACCCTAACAAACAATGACAGCTTAATCAGTTGATACATGAGAACAAGTTTCCAAGGGAACAATGCATAAATGGGGAAGACAAAGTCACGAGGCAATGATGAAAGCAATGATCATGTTGCCTAAAAAAACCATAAACTCAGTCAGAATGGGCCTTCAGGCTGGGGGAGGCACAGCTTGACCTTCCATGACATTCCTGACACATCAGCTAGCTTTGCTCCAAAATGTCTGGTGGATGGAAACTTAGTCCTTCCCGATATTCAGCAGTGGCCCAGGTCCTACTCTGCACAGTCTGTTAAGACATTTAGAGGCAGGCTGTCCAATACTGTAACCACTGCCACATGTGGCAGCTGAGTACTTGAAATGTGACTTGGCTGGAAATAAACGTGCTATAAATGTACAATATTCACCAGCCTTCAGGGATGGAGGGTAAAAAAGAAAGTGTGAAATAACTCATTAAAAATTTTTTATATGAATTACCTATTGAAATGATAATATTTTGGATGTGGTGGGTTAAATAAAACATATTATTAAAATTAATTTCAACTCTTTGCTCTTACTCTTTTGAAAGTGGCTACTAGAAAAGTTAAAATTGCATTTATGGCTCTCTAATTACACTTCTACTGGAGAGCACTGATTGAAATATTTTTGCTGCTCTCCCCATCATGGGCCCAGAGACCAGACCATGGAACTTTCTGCAGAATTATTTGGTTTGTACGTAGCAGTGATGGAGCTTCAAAGAAAGTGACTTATATTCTTTGAAAACTGGACACCATAAGAAACAAAGTGCTGGATGGCCAACGCTTAACAACAGGGAAGGGTCATGCAGCTTGAAAGCACATGGCCAGATCACCTCTTCACACTAGGTGACATCTTAGAGACGTGCCCCTACAATAGCCAGACCAAGGGGAGAGTTTCTGCTTCTGTGTTTTCCCAGTTCCAAAAAGAGTCTGGCACTGATTACATCCTATGATCCTCAGCAGAAGTTTTGTGTATGCTCCCATCAGTGTCAAGACCTCAGATAACTCCTTCTGTAGAGAGGCAGCGACTATGTTCATGACCTTGTCCTGTGGGGATAAGCATGGGCCTCACCTGTCCTGACCCCTAGCAGAACACAAATCAATTCTGAAAGATGAGTCTAGACAATGAAAAGAAAAAAAATCATGCCAGCAGACTGTCAGTGCAACATTGACATTAGAAATGTTGTTCTCCTACATTGTCTCATTGAAGAATTCAGCTCAAGTTTTCATTAGAGCCACCAGTGAGAATTAACTGACAAGTCAACATTCTGAAAATAACAAAGGGAAACAAAACAATGAACACATGTTTGGCAATGTAAAAAAAAAAAATTCCACTCAGTTTTAAAGCTGCTTTCAGCTGTTTGTGTAAATATACACACCTCTCCCTTCTTCATCGAATTTGGAAGATTAAGCAGCCACCCAAGAAAAAGGAGAAAAGAAAAAGAAGCAGGTGCTTTAAAAATCATCTCTTGGCATCGCTGGCATGCGGACTTGTGTCCAAGAGGACTGATCCCCTGGGCAGGGGGACCAATGCCGCTATAATGTAGTACAGCAAAGGGACAGGAGCGAGCCTTATTCCAGAGAAAGTTCATTTCCATCATTAAAGCCAGACAAAGGCGGCATGAGCACAGCACATCCCAGACAATTATTCAGCTGGTGAAGTGTCATGTTGCTTTATATTTTTCCACTTCTCAATGATACTGCCCAGAGACCAAGCTGAGGAATTCTTCCAGCAGCTGTCTGCATTCTGTCTGAAAATATGTTTTTTATATTAGATTTGCCCATCAATTTGCTTCCCAGTGGCATGAATTTTTTTTCTTTTTTTGTTACAAAGGAAAATACCAGTTATTTATAGCAACTGAAGGAAATAATGAAGGGGTGCAGGAGCCACTGAATCACAGGCCACCAAGTCAACAGTTCTATATACACAGTCATTTTCAACAAGAGTAGCATGAGATGCTCAAGCAGAACGGGTCCTTAAGCCAGGTCAGGTCACCTCAGGAAACTTTCCAGGCTCTCTGTTAGCCTTCCCCGCAGGAATAGGTTTGCACAGAGACATCACAAGATGCTGCAACAGGGCAATGCCAGGCACTTTCTCTATCACATTAGGTCTTTATCCACGGCAGTCCTAGCAGCCCTCTTACAGCTGTGCCAAAGGCCCTGTCAGATGCAACTTCCTGTACTTGTTTCCACACATGGGATTTAAACAGAGATTTACAGGATATAATTTCTAAAAATACTGTCAACAGTTTGAGATTATTTCATTTGGTCTACTTTTCTCTTGGTTGTGGAGGGTGGGATCAGGGGCACTGAGAAATACTACTATCTGGCATTTACTTGGATAGTGTGATTCTCATTAACTGCTACCTTCTCCACGTAGAAATGAACCCTCCCCCCCCTACTTTTTTTGTCCTTTTACATTGCTAAAAGAGACCTGAAAAATACATCTCAAAGAGAACTAGGAAAGGTGGCAAAAAACATTTGGTATTTGTATATGGCTGCTGATTTACATATATATATCTTGGGTAGAAAAATCCTTTAGGAAGGTGAAGCTGCTGCCCAATAATTATTCTTATCAAAACCTGTAAGGACTTCCCCTTAGTGACTTCACTAACATTTTCTACCAAAGGAAGTATTTTCTGGATACTATTTCAGTTTTCCTTCTTATCATGGTCATAAAGAATGCAACATGGCCCTACAAGTTACCCACGCTAATAAAAATGTCAAGATATTTTTAAAAACTTTTGCTTATTTATTATCATACACCTCATTTCCTTCTTTAGCATGGTCCATTTGAACTCTTTGAAACTGACAAATTTGAAAAATTTCTCAAGTGTCAAAAACAGACATAACACCCATATGTCAACCCTCGGTCCATCCCACATCACTTACCAGGCATAATAATATTAGAAAAACCCAACTTTCTCGTTATAGACACTCCATGAGAAAATACTGATGAGTATTCTCTTCTGATTTGTTCAATGTCTCCATGCAATAGCTGTAGGGAAACTGCTAAACCTAAAATAAATGAGAGATAACAGAGTAAAAAATAGAAGGACAGAAATAGCATGAATGGAAATCTGAGCTTGCTTCAACAAGCCCACAACTATGAAGGCATTGTTAAAACAAAAGGTTAATATTAAGACAAAATCAACAGAATCTATAGGAGTCATTTCTAAAGAACACTTTTCCAACTTGACTATTTGGGTTTTCCCTTTTCCCCTGTTTAAAAAGGTTCATAGCAACTGGAAAAAAATTGAACATAACATTAAGAAGTGTGACTTCTGGCCCCTACACCCTCTTTTCCAGCCCCCCACCAGATGAAATGACCCCACTCCGATACTCCTGCCAGCAACTGATGACTGCTACCTAGCCCTAGAGGACACTGATCTCAAAATGGGAATTCTAATTTCTTTTAACTCTATAAAACCTATGAAGTTAACAATATCATTAAGGTGTACACAAATCTAAAGTCATACAATAATTCAAGGATTTTAAGGATATTCAGAGATTTTCTTAAAACTTAAGTAACAAGGTTATTATAATGAAAGTAAGATTATATTAATACTATACACATTAGAAACTCATAATGGCATTATTTTCTACTGAGAAGAATTTAGCAGGATGCAGGCCACAAACAAAAAGGCATTTAGTCAGTAAAGTAGTAAAATTATCTTTAAAAAAAAAAAAGCCAATTACAGTGACATTACTACAGTGGGATATATAAAAGATGAATGACACATTTCTTGTAACTTATTCCCCCAACTCCCAGGCAAGAAGTACAGAAAGGAAATTAATGCTGTATTTGTGAATATATTTGTATATTTCTGAGATGCTACTTCTCTTTCTGTTTTTTAATTCCCTACTGTTTTTCTATTATTTTAAATAAGAAAGACAAAAAAAGAAGGAAAAGAAAGGAAAGGAAAGGAAAGGAAAGGAAAGGAAAGGAAAGGAAAGGAAAGGAAAGGAGGGAAAGGGGGTTCCTTACTTACATTAGTGACAGAAAATGGAGCCAATCAAAGGGGACTTATTTTTAAAACTTCCAGTCATAACTAACCTGCACACAATTTTAAAATGAATCTGGATGGTGGAGTTAAGAGGATGATAAATCTATACTCCAAAGATTCTCTACCTATATCATTACTTACCATGTGCAAGTTACCATTCCCCATTCATCATTTACAGTACTACAATGCTCTCGCAAACATGAACCATAAGCATGACAACATTCATGCTGGAATCAAAAAGAAATGCAAAGCTTATTTACCACATATCTACATTAGGATTTTCCTTTCATTCTCCTTCAACAGTAAGAACAACAGAAGAAGTGTTTTGTTAGTTTGTTTACTTGGTTTTCCATAAAGTGGTTAAAACATCAGGAAATTTTGTTAAAAAAAAAACTGGCTCATAGAGAAGATGGAGCCTTCCCTGGGGTTCCAGTCTGATGAGGTATACCCAAGGGGCAAAGATTTAAGAGATGAATGGCAGGACAGTACTGCATCATTATGTCCTCACACTTTCTGGTGTGTGGGTCTAAGAGAATGTGTCAGAGAGTTGTTGTCAGAATTTGGTTAAATGTGGCAGGTACTCAGGAACTTTAACTAAATCTTCAAGCCATTTTTACCTATCTATCCTTTATCTCCCTCCCCACCCCACTCCATCTGAGTTGGGAGACTGAAGGCAACGAATGGAGGACCATCTGTCCCTCGATAATCACAAGGAATGAAAGAGGGGGGAATAACTGGTCTGGATGGTTTGATGGCAACACAGTTTGTGTAGCTTTGGGATACTTTTATGTGGTGCTATTGGCTCCTTTTAAAACCCAAAGGCAGGAAAATGAAAACAAACTAACGTGTTGTAATCCATCTGTCCCAGCAGCTAATTCTTCCTGACTCACACTCTCCCACTACCCCCACCTCATTACTGGTGTTTCTGTTCTCTTCCCACTTCTGTCCTTTTGCCTCCAAAATACTCACCCACACCATCACCATTAACATCAGAAGCTGATATATGTAGAAGGGCAGTGCATGCCAGACATGGTACCTAAGAACAGTTCCTCATGCTGGGGAGAACACTTCAAATCTGGGGTACTATAAGCAATGCTTTCACACAGAGAGTCAGATGGACTTAAGAAAATTCTTGAGGTCCTACGATTTTTTGCAAGTGAAGATCAATTTACTAGGACTTCTCATCAAAGGATCTAATCAGAGACACTGGCAACATAATGTGTAAAGTAAGAAAAAATCTGAAGGGAAATGAGAAGCAAAGACATCATGCTATTCAGCGTAGGGGCTAGAAGAAAGAAAGTGACTAGGATTCTGGTTTTGCCCTACTGGAGCCAGAATTCATTTAACCAACAGTGATTTTTTTTTTTTTAACATAAACAATACTTAACAGAAGATAAAACAATGAAAGAAGAAAAGCATTCAGTCAGAGATAATGCTTAAGAAAATCCAAGATGGGTGAAAAAAAAAAAAGCAAAAAAAAAAAAAAAACCCCAAAAAACAAAGAAAATAAAATCCAAGATAGAAAAACAATATGTGTTAGGGAAGAACATAGATATAAATACGAAAAGAGAAATACATCAATATACTCTAATCAGTAGGCGCTACAGAGATGAGAGGAACGCAAAAGGGTAGAGCGGACCCATTCAGGGGAAAACAGGGAGGAGCCAGCTAGTAGATAAGGGAAGGGAATGAGAAAATAATAGAGGAAAACAGACAAAATACTATGAGGGAGAAGGAAAACCTTGCATTTAAGAGTTGAACACATCCTAAAATTTGGTTAGAAGGTATGGCAGTTTTCATTCTGGAGGTTTAGTAGTTATAGATTAAAGGCCAAGGTGTAATGATTTCATTTGTCTTGCCCAGTGAAACCAATTTGGAGGAGAGGGGAAGGTACTATCATTTTGAGGTGACTCAATTTCTTCAGACTAAAGAGCTCACTGATAGTCAAGAATTGGAAAGGCCAAATGAACTGAGGGCTTCACCATAATGTACTTGGCTCTTCCTAAATCACCAACTCAGTTTCCATAAAAAAAAAATTAAAAAGAAAAAAAATACCCACAACACTCAACATGAAACATTCAAGCGTGGGTATACTTTCAATAAGACAAAGAAAAAACATGATATAGCAAGAATCCAAAAGGGCTAACACACAAAGAGCTTTTGCAATACTAATTATTTTTCAGTCAAGGAAACTCTAGATCCTATTTTTATTGTGGCCCTTAATTATCATGACAAAAATCAACAGGATGGAGTCACCAGAACAATAAGAAATAATGCACTAAGATGAAGAAACTACTCGTCACTACAAGGGAGAGACTCATCAAATATTCACCCATTCCAATTAGAAATTGGGCTAATCCTGAGGATTAGCCCTATCCTTTCAGGAGTAGTCATTTATGACACAGGGTATGTTCACAGAGCTGTATTTTTCTTTCTCTTCTCTTCCTAGTTAGCCAACTTCTCTAGCCTCATCTTACTTGCTATCTCTGGAGCTGGGGCCACTTCTAAAAGTTTATGTGCTGTGCACTGGAAACTAATGTAACACTGTATACCGATTATACTCAAATAAAAATTTTTTAATTAAAAAATAAAATTTTATTTGTACACTATTTTATTCCAAACACAATTCAACCTGACCACTTTGGGTATGGAGAGAACTTCCAGTTTGAGAGGAAGGTGGAAGGTGGGATATAAGGATACATATGATACTGAACATAAAACATGCACATATAAATAAAACATAAAGCAGAATGGGCTAAGCATATGCTAGCAATATTAAAATAAGGAAAAATTACTGAGGGAATTTGAAAGTTCAGGGAAGATTAGAAAAAAACAAACAGGAATTTACGACAACCAATAAGCTGAAGAATTAGGTTAGATTTTTAATTTTACAAAATATATAAATAATATTTTACAATCAGTTTTTTCCAGTCCTTAATATACATACCAAAAATGAAATTGCTAAGGGAGAACTGTTCCTCTTATTAAAAGAAGCGATCATTAAACTGAACATTTTTATCTGCCTAGATGTTTAAGAGCCAATTATAATGATATGATATCTAATTTTAAACAAAGGCATAGAAATTAATTAATCTAGAGTCTGTCACAAAATAACCTATTTCTCATGCTCAGCATACAGAGCAGTAGTGTAGGAAAGAAAGGCTTACTTTCTGTAGAATCAAATGTGGTTGATTATTTGGCAGCTCTAATTTCACAGGAATTGAAGTTAACTCAATCCTTAAGATGGTTCCTTTTAAATTCATGAAATTCTGCACTTTTATATAAAAATGCCAAGCACAGCATGATTTGTAAGTAGCAGGCAAAATTAATTTTAGACTATATCAGCCATTTGCCACCAATGAACCAATAACTTGTAGCTGTGAATTTACAGCAAAGCAAAAATAAAAAACAAATACATTTGATAAATACATGTTATGATTAAGTGTGAAAGTTAAGAAATATATCATAGAGCTTCATGACTCTGTCAAATGTTAACTTCTCTGTGCTTTGGATTCCACATCTGTAAAATCAAGTTAATAGTGATAGCAACTCCATAAAATACTTTGGGTGATACCCGGCACAAAGAACATGCTCAACAATTTTAGCTGCTGTTACCAATGCCCCGAGTATTATTACACAACATCACTCTTTCTGTTCTTGTTCCTCCCTACCGTGAATATCAACAAATTACCTTCCATCAAAAAAATGTTCAACATTCCCTAAGTGCCATACACAAAGACGATATTCCTTTCAAAAGGCACACCCACTTACCACTAGTTTAAGCCAAGTATTGTAAATCTTCTGGATATTTGAATGATGAAGACCTATGGAGGCCTTGGGGGCAAATCTGTCTATCATGTACAATATTCAATTACTGGAGATCTGACATAGACGCAAGTGATCGATACAAGTAGACAATGGTGTACAAACAGACATACGTGAAGATGGGGAAATTCCTAATAGCACAGGGGAAGCCAGAAAAATAAGCAGTAGTCCTGGAGGCCATAATTA